GGCCTTATGTTCTCAGGACTCCTCTGACCGCCTCTCCCTGACTGTACCCACCTTAGCTTTCTTTATCACCCATTGTGGGTGGCAGGCATATGTCTCCTGTAACCAAACAATTTTCAGTGTTGATACACTCAGACAATGAACCCTATTGCCATCTCTGGGGTGTTTGGTGTTTCAGTAGGGGGAATTGACCAGTATGTTGACAATGGTCTCCCCCTCTATGCATTTTAGTCCAAACTACTGGGCCTTGAGTAACAGGATAGGACATCTGACCACCTTTATCACTCATGTTCTTGGGGTTAGTTCATTTTCCATCTGACTTGTGAAACCACAAGATTGAGGGGTCTAAAGCCAAGTTGCACCCTGTAAAACTGACAATACTTGTAGAGAACCAATCTCTGGGGTCATCATAAGCATGTGTAGGGAGACAGAGGAAACACCTGGCTGCTTTCATCTCCTGGTCTCTATAGAGTGAAGGGAAAGCTGAGATTCACTTAGGTGGTATCTCAAGACTGGACCAAACTCTTTGTGGTGTCACTGGTTTCCAGGCATGGTCTCTTTCTGTTTAACCTCAGGGTGTTCTGTCTAAACTCTCTGCATTCTCTTGGGGGTAATTTACTTATGTTGTTCTGACTACAGTGGCTGGCAGATGGACATCACACCATGCAACTGTCCTAAGCAGGAAAGAGGCCAAGAAGGAGGAAAAGAGACTGACCAAAGAGCTGGGGCTCAGTACCCAGGAGAGAAACGAGCTGAGAGACCGCTTGATCTATGTCACAGAGGGATCCATGAACAAGAGGTACTCATTGCTCCAAACACTTTGGTGTCAGTCTGACATCTGCAATGTCACCCTCATCTTATCCTTTTAAGGTTGTGAGTTCTGGGAAGCAGTACCTCCACAGAGTCCCTGTGCCCAACTTTATACCCCTAAGTGCTTCTTAGAGGAGAGGTTGAACCTGAAGCTTGTTCAGGAGCCAGAAGGGAAAGGGACTCTTCTGCTTCCTCCAACTGAAATGTTGAACTTGTGGTCTGAGTAAAGAATTCTGAATGTGGGCAGTTTCAAGTGAGTGCACAACATGCATTTGGAAAGTCCTTGACAGATGCAGTAAGTTTGTGGTGACACTTTCTACTTACCTGGTGCTTAACTGAGGGCTGGAAGGGCCTGGAAGCAGCTGGCCCCACACTGTTCACCTCAGTGCTTGACTAGGAGGCCTGAAGATTATGCCTTTGACTGTGTGCCTTATACTCTGAGACAGGAATGCTGAATGAATTTCTTCAAATTCTGATTGTTCTCTCTCCATTGCTGTATCTCTCTCTTTCTCATTCTCTGATTCTGTTTCCTTTTACTTTTCCTTGTGTGTGTGCTTGTGTGTGTACACATGCATATGTATGTGCAGACATATACTAGGTGTGTATTTCCTTCCACTCTTTGGGAACTAGGGTTCTGTGTTTTGGCCTGTGACTTGACCTGTATAACAGTTTAAAGGTGATGTGACTCCTGAGGTCTGGGATCTGCTCATGTAAACAGCACTCTCATTGCCTCTGTGGTGCCATTTGTCTGTACATTTGTATCTCTTTGACAGACTAGAAAACTGTGTTGATGACTGGTCTCATCTCCAGAATTATGTGCAATGAATGTCTCCACACTATTAGTTATGGAGGATTTAGAGTCCCTGTTTTGAAATTAGGAAATATATAATCACAGGTTTCTGGTGGGCAAGGACCTGTGGCCTAGTCTCTTTAGAGCATAAGCTGCTAGACCTCCAGTTCAGGCCAGCTGAGTGGACACAGGGAGCCAGGGCACCCTCCATCTGGATGCCAAACTTCTGCTGTCCTGGGCCAGGATAACAAGTTTCCAAAGCTGGAGAAGATCCCCGTATGTAGAATGAAGGAATTGGCCTTCCAGGAGTAGGGTAGGACAGGACCCAGCCTGAGTTCATGTGTTCCTAAAAGCCATGTTCATGGTGTTCTGTCTTACTGGGGCCAGACCCTATTACAGGCAAAATCCACTGTATGAAAAACTGAAGTTAAAGGAGAAGACGGTCATGTCATTTCTGAACAAATTAGAGATGGAGAACACTGAGTTCTGTGAGAACGTCCAGGAGCACAAGAAGGAGATTAACTTCTATAGGTAAGTGCAGGTCATGGAGGCTACCACTTGTACAATGGCCATTTCTGCATTCCTTTGAACTGGAATGGAGGGTCTCCAGGTCTGGTTCTATCCCTTCTGCTTTTTAGCCTTCAGTGTACCTTGGGCCTTTTGGACTCAGTTTTCTTCAATCTGTAAGAGAACCTTAGTCCTCCCAGGGTTATCTGGGCATCCTCAGGAGCCTCTAAGATAACAAAATGAGAGGGTTCTTTTGCATAACTGGACCTATGGGGCTCAGTCAGGGTTTTACAGATGTGAGTGTGATGGAACACATGGATAGAATGCCCTCCTCTTAGTTCTCCTGACCTCCAATGAGGGTATTTGCAACCTACTACTTGATGTTGCTGCAATACACTGGGCTGCCCTGGAGATTCCTCTTTCTTTGGAGAGGCAGATAGATGGTGATACCTCTTTCTTTTGGGGAGACATGGAGCCTTATTTGTGTTTGGGCTACAGACATGATTAATTCTTACCTGCATTGGCTGTTTGCTGTTTGTGCAGTGTCATGGATATATTGAAATATACTGTACTATGTCTTCATGGGAACCTGGGTCCTGGTGGGGTAATGGAACCTATAAGTAGGAATGGGAGGAGGAGGTTGCAGGATCTTAATAACCTTAGTGTGTTTCCAGAAACCTGCAAAGTCGGCTCCTGTTGCAGTCCTCTGTTGTAAAGAAGTCATTGGTCAAAGTGAGGCAGGATTGCAAGGAAGTACAGGCTGATTCGTACCTTCTCCAACAGTACTTGACTGAGTTGAACCTGAATGTTGAAGATGAACAGCAGAAGACCAACAATCTCCCAAATCAACAACAGCAGGATAAGGTACGGATAAGCACCTTATTCAGACTAATACTGTCTGATATCATTTGCCCATTGAATCCATCTTTGCGTTGATCCACCGTCTTTCAAATCCACACCCCCAACCAGCCACCCACTTCACGGACTTTAGTTCTTCATTACTCTGTCTATGCACAAGTATTCTCAGTAGTTCAACTCTTGGGAGACACTGAATTATTGACAAGTCTATCTTGCTACTCTTCTTACAGCGACAGTCTAGTAAGGGTAACAGGTGAATTACACATCACACACTTGCATGATCTTATAATAGGTGGGTTGGTATGCAGAGGTTTGAGAAAGTTCTAGGTCTTGTGACAGGAGTTGTGCAGGGGTCATGTGTCCTCTCAGGTAAAAATAACCTTGCAGAGAGTAAAGCCAAATGCAAATATCAGATGAGAGCTTCTCATTGTCAGTTGTCTGGGTGGCATGTGGCCTTCTCCTTTCTCCCTGCAACTCAATCAGTTCTCTCCCCATTGCCCAGTTCATGGTTTGCACTGATAGAAGTCTGAGTGGCAGCTTGTCAGCCCATGTGTTTGTGAGTTTTGCTTGAAATTTTGCCCTGCTTGTACATTTAGCAGCAAGCTTTTTAGTTAAAAGATCAGTTTTGATGTCTAGTTGAGGTGGTGGGAGGCAGCAGCTGACATCTGACATGCATGTCCCCACCAACCTTGTGTCTTAATAACTGCCTTCCTCTCCCAGGTCTCAGAAACTGCAAGAGAGCTGGAATTGGACACATCCCAGGAAGAGAGCCTCCTGCAGAATGAGTTGCCACCTCAGGAGCCCCCTGCTGAGCTCCCTCCTCAACAACCACAGACTTCTTTGGATGAATCTCCTTCCTCATAGATCATTTCCACAGTGTGGATGGGCCCAAATTATGCAGCCAGTGAGACAGCCAGACAGATTCAGGGTCTTTTTCTCTTTCCTGTGTGACCTCTTGAGAGAGAACTGAGGTGACTACAGTACCAGCAAGTGCTGAAAATAAGAAACTGACTGTAGTTTGTTCTGCTAAATGTGCCGTGAGGGAATGTCCCTTCACAATTTTTTCTGTTAAGACTTTTGGTTGAAATTTTGATTTGCATGGTTTTGTTTTTTCTTATGTTATTTAGATATTATGTGTTTTTGTTATTGACTTTTATTTTGCTAAAATTTTTGAAGTTTATGTAAACCTTCATACTAAAATTGTTTTTTAAAATTATTTCTTATGAATAAAAAGTTTATCTGTAACTCTTGACTCTTTTTAATTTTATTTAATCTTCCTTTTACACTCCAGATTTTATCCCTTTCCATGTTCACCCTCTGATTCTTTAACTTACTGTCCTCCTCTCCATCTGTCTCCCTGAAATGTTCCCCAATCTCCCCCCAAAATTCTACTCCACCAAACCTCCCCATTCCTTGGGGTCTTTGAGGGTTAGGTGCACCTTTTATGACTGAATCAATACCTGGCAGTCCACTTTTTGTATATGTGTTGGAGGCCTCATATCAGCTTGTTTATAGTAACTCATTGGTGGTCCAGGTCTGAGAGATCGCTGGGGTCCAGGCTATATGATACTGCTTGTCCTCCTACAAGGTAACCCTACTCCTCAGCTTCTTCCAGCTTTTCACTAAGTCAACTACAGTGGTCAGCAGCTTCTGTTCACTGGTTGAGTGTAAAGATCTGTAACTGATACTTCAGGGTGCTTGTTTGGTCTTTCAGAGGGCAGTCATGATACAACCCTTTTTGTGAGCACACTATATCCTCAGCAACAGTGTCTTTCCTCCGATTCTCCTCTTAATCTGGGGCCCCCTTTGGGTCTGTTGCTGAACCTTCAGCCAGACTGATGATCATCTCAGGCTACAACTCTGTCTAGGCTGCCTGTCTCTGGACTGGTGGTTCTCTCCCAATTTCTCCTTGCCTGCACCTGCCTATGTTGCCCCATTCAGAAGTTTTCTGTCTAAGGCTCATTTCTAACCATGGTCCAATATCACAGGCCGCATTGACTAGTTTCCAGCTTGCTTCTCACCACTGTATTCAATCTAGACTTACACAGGACTAGGTCATTTCAGGATCACTTTTTAAAATGTGTTTTCTATTCTCCCCCCTCTTGGATACTTTCCTAATTTACATTTGAAATATTATCCCCATTACAGTTTTCCCACCCACCACAAAATCCCTATATACCATGTCTCCTACCCCTGTTTCTATGAGGCTGTTCCCCACCCAACCACTCACTGCAGCCTACCCTCCCTGGCATTCCCCTACACTGGGATAAGGAGCCTTCACAGGACCAAGGGCCTCTCCTACTGATTTCCCCACAAGAGAATCTTCTGCTACATATGTAGCTGGAGCCATGATTCCCTCCATGTGTACTTTTTGGTTGCTGGTTTAGTCCCTGGAATATCTGGGGGTAGTGGGTCTGGTTGATTAATATTGTTGTTCTTCCTATGGGGTTGAGAACCCCTTCAGCTCCTTCAGCCCTGTGTTATACTCTTCATTCTTCAGATGATCTCAGACCACAACACTGAGCTTAGATATAGCCTCTCTCTTTCTGACACCTTCTGAGTCACATGAGACACAACTGTCACCCTGCCAATGATCTAGGGGCAGACAATATCAATGATATAAATCATTAAATGTCAGTGGAATTCTGGTCTGTAGGATTTAAGAGTAAAACACCAAAACTCAAACCACCACCACCACCACCACCACCACCACCACCAACAACAACAACAACAACTACAAAATAGATAAATACTATTTTCAAAGGAAAGACTTATTACCAAAGAAGAATTAGCCAATCTTTAATCAAATCTTGAACTAGACCAGGAGATTCCTAAGCTCTGGCCATGTAGTGAAGACTCATCAACATAAAACATTGTTTGACAAGACTGCCGAGCAATTGTCTCCAATAGTAGGAATTAATCAATACGGCTTAGTATTACTTAACCTAACATCTTAAAGTTTGAAAAATGTTTTCAAATAATGAAAGTAATTCAAATTCTATGAAGAATATCATTGGAAATTTGATGTGGATGGTATTGAATTTGTATTGATCACTTTCAATATTATAATCATTTGAAAGGCTTAATTCAGACACTATGACTGCAGGAGATCACTGCATCTTCTTTTGTCTTCTTAAATATATTTTATTTCAGTGCCTTTAAAGTTCACTATAGTGGATGTACATTCCTTGTTTTATTCTCACTACTAGGTTGATCTTCAACATACCCACTCCTTAGTTTGTATTAATTTTCATAAAATTCTTACTCGTTATATAATATCATCCCAGTAATTCTCCATATACCTATCTATTTAAAATGGAGTAATTTCCAGTAATGGTCAAAATCCTTTTGGTTCCCACATTACTGAAACATTTCAATTTGCCTGAATAAGTAATGATTAGGTCAGATATTCACTGACCACTAGGGTGGGGAAGAAAATGAAAAGAAAAACAACAACATGCACAACTTGTGAAGTAATAATAGATCTTTGTTGGAAGTTGGTAGGATATTTTTCTTTTGTTGAAAATCAATTCTTTTCTCATACCACATATCCTGATTATAGCTTGCCCTACCTTCCTCCTATCAGTTCCTCCCCACCTCCTCTACTTTCCTGATCCATCCCTTTCTGCCTTTTATGAGAAAAGAACAGACTCCAAAGAATGAGCTTCCAAGTGTGACAAAATAAATTATAGTAAGATGAAGTAAAAGTTATGATACTGAAGTTGAACACACTAACCCAGCAGGAGATAAAGGGTTTCTAGAACAGGCACAAGTGTCAGTGAACCACTTGTTAAGTGTCCCATAAAGATATTAAGCTAATAGCTAAAACAAAGCTTTAGAATATCTGGTGTAGTCCCATGTTGGCCTGGTATTTGAGTTTCAGTCTGGATGAGTTCCTATGGCCATTGTTTAGTTAGTTCAGAGAGCCTAGTTGCCCAGGCGTCCTTTGTCCCCTTTGTCCCCTTTTATCATCATTGTGTCTCCTGTTCTACAGGAGTATCTTATGGAGGTGACTGAAGCATGGAGGGAAACAGTGAGAGCCATGGAGAGAGGATCAGTGGTAGGGAAACATCAGGGAAGAAGTTGGGTTAAGTGGAGAGGGCTAGCTGAGACATTGCCCCAGCAAAAAGCCAACAGCATTAAACTATATAGATGTCTCTGTGTCATTATTTGTAAAATTCCAATAGGACCTCAAAAGCCTTGCTATAATCCCTGAGCTCTGAGTAGAAGGAAGTGATAAGAGTTCCAATTTAGAGAAAATCTCTGCAAAATATCTGGTTGTGGGTCTGTGCATCTGTTCACATCTGCTGCTAGAGGAACTCTTCTGATGATGAATAGATAAGACCCTGATGTTTAATCACAACTGAATTTCTTTACAAATTATTTGAGTTTTTTTTTTAAGGTCATCAATGTTTTCTTCTACTCTGGGTCTCTAGGCTACCTAGGCTCTGATTCTTAGTTCCCTGAGTACTGTTAGAAATGGGTTCAATCTAGTAGAATAGGCTATAAGTCAAAACAGTCATTGGTTGGCTACTCTTCAAAATTCTGGGTCACCATTGCCCTAGCATAGACAGATTGCCTAGGCAAAACATACTGTAGGTCAAAGATTTTCTTACTGAGTTGTCTGTTTCTCTTTTAATAGCCTGCAGGGTATTATCCCTCACAAAAAACCTGGAATTTAGGGAAAAGCCTCTATGTAGGCACCAGCTGACTTTTCCATGTTCAGTGAATTGTGTGGTTATTGTCACCAGCGATGGGTCCACTGTCGTTTTGCAGATAGCATTCCTTTTCTCAGCACAAGCCTGAGGTGTTGGATGATCTCCATGGGACCATATGCCAAAAACTCAAATAAATGCAAATAAGTTCTCCCACTGGAAGCTTTTCATGACTGGAAGAGATGACCAGTTGAGACTCTGTATTCCCCAATACTAAAACTCCTCATTAGGAACACCATCACACTTTCCAGTATCATTTCCACTGTGTTAGGTTTACAATCCCCCAAATGGTTCCCCAATTCTAGCTATCTCTGCCTTATCTCACCACTTGCATGAGCCTCCTTCTCCATCACATCTCCACCTGTCCCTGCTCAGCTGATAAAATCTACTTAACTTCTTCCTCCCAGTAAAATCCAAAAGATCTTCTAAATCTCTGTCTCTCAACATTCCGAATGCTGTGACCGTTTATCTAATATAGTTTCTTATGTTGTGGTAACTCCCAACTTTAAAATTGTTTTACTCTTACTTCTTAGCTGTAATTTTGCTACTGTTAGGAATCATAATGTAAATAGTTCATACACAGGATATCTAATAGGGAATCACTCTGAACTAGCCATTTAACCTCAGAGTGGTGTGTCTGTAGAAGTAAATATTTGAGGGGGTGGTCTATGGCCCCTTTTTTTCCAAATAACTGCAGAGGATTTTTATGTCAGTTCTAATCCATTTTCTCTCTCAGAATCAATACTCAGACGATATGAAGCCCAAGAAGAAGGAATATGAAAATGTGTATATCTCATTGCTTCTTAGGAGGGTGAGCAAAGTACTCACATGAGGAAAAACGGAGACAACAGGTGGATCGGAGACTGAAGTTAAGACTGTTCAGAGATTGCTCCACCGGGAGATCCATTTCTTATACCTGGACACTATTGTGGATACTGGGAAGTGCTTGCTGATAGAGGCCTGATATAGATGTCCCCTGAGAGGCTCTGTCCGAGCCTGACAAATCCTGAAGTGGTTGCTCTCAGTCAACCATTGAACTGAGTGCTAGTTCCCAGGTGGAGGTATTGGAGAAGGGACTGAAGCAGCTGAGGGGGTTTGCAGCCCCATGGAGGGAGCAACAGTGTCAACTTGCTGGATTCCAAGGAGCTCAAAGGCACGGGACAACCAACCAAATGATTCACATGGAGGGATCCGTGGCTCTGGCCACATATGTAGCAGAGGATGGCATTGTTGGTCATAATTGGAGAAGAAGCCCCTTGGGCCTGGAGGTGTTTGATGCTCCAGTGTAACGGAATTCAAGAGAGGGAAGAATGAAGTGGATTGGTGGGTAGAAGAGCACCATCATAGAGTGAGAGGGAGGTGGTTTGAAATGGAGGTGTCTGAAACAGAGACCTGGAAAGGAAAAAACATTTGAAATGTAAATAAAGAAAATATCCAATAAAAAATAAAATAATTTTTAAAAAACATGAAAAATAAAAAGACTTGGAGATCTGGTATTTTCTATTAACAAGCTGCAAGGCCTAACACCTT